GGACTTGGTGAGTCCCAGGGCCTCACCTGGAACCCTCAGATTCCTCCTGTCCCTTCCAGCCTCTTGAGTCTGGCAGCAGCAAGTCCAATTACAGGCTGAAACCTCCCAGATCCAGGCCCGGCCCAGACCAGGAGATACCTTGTTCAGGTTTGGTTTAACCTCAGAGGTTCTTCTTCCTCCCCTCCCCAGGTGCCCCCAAGACCCAGTGGGAGGACAGCTGCTCTCCGACCTCTTTACCAACAGAAAGGAGAACATTACTATCAAGTTGTCCGAAGACTGTCTTTACCTGAATATTTACACTCCTGCTGACTTGAGGAAGAACAGCAGGCTGCCGGTAAGCTGTGGGAACCCCTGGCCCAGACGTGCTGATTCCACTACCACGGGGTCGTCGGGGTCTTCTGGTGCAGATGGGTGAAGCATAGGCCAGGACTGCTCAGGGGACACAGGGCTCACACAGGAAACACAAGTTTCCACATGTCAGTTCCCCTAGTGACATGGAACCACTGGAGGAGTTTGCTGGACATCTGTAATGCACGCCTTCTTTCCCAAGATCTCTCATGCTAACTGAAGGGTGGCAGTGGTTGCTCTTAGTTCGTAGTTTAGGAATCTGATACTCAGAGCAGTTTGGACATGATTTTCCATAGTGTTAGAGCTGAAAGGGGTCTTAAAGAAAAGCCAATAACCTAGCTCTTCCATTACCTATGGAGAAACTGAGGCCGTGATGCGGGAATGTGGAGGTTGTGCAGTAGGGCTGGCAGGACCAGAGCTCAGGTCTTTTGATCTTCAAACCAGTGTTCCTCGGCATGGAATAGGACATTGAGCATGTGTGTGGCCTTTCCCCAGCACACCAATGTCCACCTGTGACAACTTTCACTGTCTTATTACCAAGGTGTTGGGTGGAGCATAGGACAGTCCCAGAGGTACTTGCTTTTATCTTTGTCTAATTCTCTCGGATTATATTGTAGCTAATTTCCCTCCCTAATAATCTTTGGCACAAGCTGGTGACTCAGTGAGTCAGCATTTCCCAAATAAGTGACGGGCCAGAGATGGGCAGGCTGCCAGCTGCAGGGTGGATGGTGGGGGAGGGGAGGTTCTGCTGGAAAGGAGGCTGCCTAGGGTGGACAGGGGAGGGGGTCAGCACCCAGCCAGAGTCCCAGGAGCACCCTGGCACAGTGCTGGGAGTGGGGGAGAAGGTCTGTGAACTTGGGACTAGATGTTGGCCCCACATGTGCTTTGTAAGGCTCAAGGAAGTGAGAACAAAGGTTCACTCACTCCCTCATTCATTCATTCTTCTACTTTGTACTCAGTGCCCCCTACCCAAGGTTAGACTTGGGGGATGGGGAAGGAGGAACATGAAACCACTTCCAGCAGCCCCACCCTCAGGGATCCTGCCCTTGGGCTGCACAGACACAGGCTGACTTCAGCATGTTACCGCAGCCCAGCCCGTGGGCTCAGCTGTCACTCAAAGATGACGGTAACCTCAGCCCCTTTCCCAGGAGGGAGGCAGGGATCAGACAAACAGGGGCTTTGTGAGCTGCAGACACAAGAACCTCTAGTACGGACACGGGTTCCAGAACTGCAGGGTCTGGGTTTGAATCCTGCTTCTGCTTTGACTAGCTGAGAGATGTGAGCGATTTCTTAACTTCTCTCACCCTCTGTTTCCTGGAAATGGGAGGCAGCAGGTGTGAGTGCTCCGTGCTCACTGCCCAGCTTTGTCTCCGCCCCTGGATAAACGTGAAAAGCAAGTGCTTGTGACACCTTAGAGGGGAAGGGGGGATCTTACCCCACCTGACAGCAGACCTGCTGTGCCGTGGCCACTGGCTGCAGTGTGCTGAGCAGCTCAGCACCTGGACGTGGAACCAACTGCGTGGGTCCCAGTCCTGCTTCTACCACTGGGCAGTGTGACCTTGGGCAGGTTAGGTGCCTCAGTTTTTCAATCTGTCAAACAATACAACATTGGTATCTACCTCATGGATGGTTTATTTTAAAGTACTTAGAACTTGGTACACAGTACATATTATAAGTTCTTTCTCTTTTTTATCAACAATGTTATTGTAATATAATTATTTTAGCCCCCCCCCGCCACTGCTTCCCTGTTATGTGAGCTCTTTAAATGTTAGAACCATGAATTGTGAATCATTGTGTCCACTCTTATCTTTGGTTCCTGTCACTGTCCCCAGCCCATAGTTGGTGCCCAGGTAATGTTAGTCAAGTGATCTAAGGCTTCCTGAAGGGGGTGGGTTCCAGGCTGGGCTTTGCAGGGTGGGTGGATTTGGGGAGGCAGAGGAGGCAGGAAGGAGGCATATAAGGAAGAGATACCATCATGGCATGTGTGCTTTTTGAGACAGTCACTTGTGTACAGGGAAGTGTAATTCACAACCAAACACATAACTGGGAGGCAGCTGCAATGCAAGCACTACTGTATGTCTATGCAGAGCTGGCTGCAAGGTCCAGCATGAGGGTGACTGGAGTGTCCTGTCCTTTAATCCCAGACGCCATCACAAGCTGCCTACTCTGTCCCCCGGGCTGTCTGAGGCCCCTCGCTCTTCTCATGGACACACTGAACCACGACTCCCACGCCCTCCCCAGGCAGAGACACCCTGCTTGTCCCAGTGCCCCCGCTCAGCTGCCGAGGCTCCGTCCTCCCAGTTGCCCGGGACACAGGCCTCGAGGGCAGCCTGGACCCTTCTCTCTACCCACACCCTGCGCGCAGGCGGCTGCCGATCCTCCCGCCTCCACCTATGAGATGTGCTCAGAGTCCCGCTGCTTCTCACCCTCCCTTGCTTCACCCAGGTCAGGCTGTCTGGCTCTGGCCTGGATTGTCATCACGGCCACTCACTGTGTCACTCTGCGACTTCTGTGCTGCAGCTGATCCACATGCAGCCAGAGAGATCAGATAAGGCAGAGAGTGAGTCACGTCATTCCTCTGCACAGACCTGCACCGGCTCCCACGTCACCTGGGATGACACGCAACACGCTTCCCCAGGCCACAGCGCCCTCCCCAGCTGCCCCTCCTACGTGCACACTGTGCTTGCTGGGCCCCAGGGCCTTTGCACTTGCTGTTTCTTCTGCCTGGAATCGTCTTCTTTGGATATTGGCAAGGCTCACGTGATCATTTCATTCAGGCTCCTCCTCAAATGCCACAGCGTCCGAGAGGCCTTCCCTGCTTGTGTGATCTGAAGTAGCACCCACTGCCCACTCCTGCCTTTCCCCTCACCCCATTTTGTGTTTCCTCAAAGCGCTTTCACTGCCTGGTATTTTATTCTGTGTTTATCTGTTTGTTTGTGGTCTGTACTATGAGTTCAATGTGAGAAATTTTCCGTTTTGTTCTCACATGTGCTCTAGATCCTAGGACAGCATTGGGCATACAGTCCATGCTTGAGATGAGTGAATGTGGAGCCCTACAATGGCACATGCTGGCACTGGCAGGCAGGGGAAGACCCTGTGTCAGGGGTGTGGAAGCCCAGCCTATTCTAGAAGGATCACCGAGAGCCCCCAGCCCCGTCTATAGTCTGAGACCCCTGCCATGGCATCTGTGCTGCCCACCCCAACTTGTTCCCTTACAGCACAGGGGACGAACACAGCCGGGGGAACTGGGGTCACTTGGACCAGGTGGCCGCGCTGCGCTGAGTCCGGGACAACATCGCCAACTTTGGAGGGAACCCAGGCTCTGTGACCATCTTTGGAGAGTCAGCAGGAAGCGAAAGTGTCTCTGTCCTTGTAAGTGTTCCTGGCACCAGGCCCCACCCCCAGGCTGATGTGGCCACTGATGGGAACTCTTGGAGACCAGCCCACCCAGCCCCGGGCACCTTTGCTTACATGGCCTGGATTGGGGACAGACCCTCCTCCTTGCCCAGCATCAGGCAATGGAGAGCTAATGTACAAACTCTCCTTGGCCCCCAGGAAGCTCAGAGCTCAGCTTTATGTCTTGGGCCACTAGAATCTCTGGCCCCAGCCTGCACTGGCCGCAGTCCTCCTCTGGCACCTTGGTTGAGCTCGCTCTCTCCTTCCTTCTCATTTTAACACCAGGACTCAGCTCATTTTTGGGGAGGTGGGGGTGGGTATAAATTATGAACATATGCAGGCAAGGACAAGAGTTGGACAGAGGTCATCGTTTAGCTTGAAGCCAGAACTGTGTGTCGAGTGACACAAGCCCTGAGATCAGGCAGGACCTCAGCTGAGGTGGTCTGATGGCCCCCATGCCCAAGAGGGACATGGCCGTCTGTGGAGCTGAGGGTCCAGGGCAGATGGGTGAAGTGGGGGAGGAAGGAGGGATGGAACACAGGACGGGGAGGGAGGGGACATGGGATGTGGGGCACAGACACAGCCTGGGGGTGTGAGATGTCCTGCCAGCGTGGGGATGGGTCTGGGGTGGTACTGAGGGCAGCTGGGATGGGAAACCTGGTTGGAAGGTGCTGGGAGCTGTGAGGAGCCTCCAGGGGCCTCGGAGTTGAGCAGAGGGTCAGGCCATTGCTGTGTTTTTCAATCATGTGTCAGTTTCCTACTTGAACAATCAGAAGGTAATGCTTATATATTTTTTTAAATTGGAGATAAAGGAAAAGTACTCATCAGCCTAGTAAACAAAAAACACATCCGCAATCTGCCTCCCCAGGGTCCTCACTGCGGACCTTTGACTTGTATTTTTCTGGTCTTTTCTTCATGAGTCACTCTGTCTGTCTCCTATCATCTTTTTCTTCTACCAATAAACTTTCCTTAATTAACATAAGTGATGGTAATTAACCTAAATGGAAGTATAATACAGTATAACATTATAATATCTTTTATAATTGCATAGTATTCCATGGTAGGATTTAAAAATTGTTTATTTACCCAATCTCATGATATTGGAACCTTGGGCTCTTCCCAATTTTTGCTATTATAACCAGCATGGGCACCCTAAGAAGTCTTCGTGTGCCTCCCTGGTCACTTTTCTTCTGAGAGGTAGAAAGGTTGAATCAAA